TAGTAAGGAAGGAAGGAAGGAAATAAGTCAGTAAGGAAGTAAATGAGTAACTAAGTAAAGAAATAAGGACAGAAGGAAATAAGTAAGTAAGTAAGGAAGTAAGTAAGGAAGGAAGGAAAATAAGTAAGTAAGTAAGAAAATGAGTAATTAAGTAAGGAAATAAGTAAGTAAGGAAGGAAGGAAATAAATAAGGAAGGAAGGAAGGATGCAAGGAAATAAATAAGGAAGGAAGGAAATAAGGAAGGAAGGAAGGAAGGAAGAAAGAAAGGGAGGAAGGAAATAAGAAAGCAAGGAAGTAAATGAGTAAATAAGTAAGGAAGGAAGGAAATAAGTAAGTAAGTAAGGAAGGACGGAAGGAAGGAAATAAGGAAGGACGGAACTAAGGAAGGAAGGAAGTAAATGAGTAACTAAGTAAGGAAATAAGTAAGGAAGGAAGGAAGGAAGGAAAGAAGGAAATAAGTAAGTAAGTAGATGGAACAGAGTGTTTTCTCAGATTAAATATGTAGGTTTGTGTGTTAAACATGTGCGAATGAAACAAAACACAACTCCAGATTATAACACTTTATACTAAAAGATCAAAGGAATACATTTTGCAAGACTTTAAAGGCAGATAGATAGATAGATAGATAGATAGATAGATAGATAGAATAGATAAAATTGTGTAAAATTGACATAATGCTTACATGTCTACCATATGTGACTAAGTGTGACTTTGAGGTGATTATTCACAATGAGAAAATCTAAACAGTCAATGACGTTAAATATCTTGGCCTCATTCTGAATGAAAATGTCAAATTTATAGGTCAAAGAAGATTAAAACTAGTCCCAGTCGCTTTCATTTCGCTCCAGACTCCAAAACTCTTCATGAACACAATGATCTTGTAACTTCTATCTTATTCTGTCACCTCACGGTCCCAAGACTCCGCAAACACACTGAAACTGCTCTGTTCATTTTACAAACTGACCCTTAAAGTCCTTGACAAAAAGCCCAGACACCAACACCACTGTGAAATTTTAAAGAAACATTTTAGTTTAGAAAATTTGACCAGTTTTAATAATCTTACATTCGTTTTTAAGTCTCCTAACTGTGATGCACCACTGTATTCAGAATGTAAGTAAAGCAGTAAGGAAGGAAGGAAGGAAATAATTAAGAAAGTAAGTAAGTAAGTAAGTAAGGAAGGAAGGAAGGAAGGAAATAAGTAAGTAATTAAGGAAGGAAGGAAAGAAATAAGGAAGGAAGGAAGGAAAGAAATAAGTAATTAAGGAAGGAAGGAAGGAAATAAGGAAGGAAGTAAGGAAGGAAATAAGTAAGTAATTAAGGAAGGAAGCAAGGAAATAAGTAAGTAAGAAAGGAAGGAAGTATGGAAGGAAGTAGTAAGTAAGTAAGTCTTTATTTATCGCTTTCACAGACATTTTCTGTCCCCAAAGACGCTTTACAGAACATTATTCAGCATTCATTCATACAGCATTATTCATTCACTCTACACCCTGGTGATGGTAAGCTACTATTGTAGCCACAGCTGCCCTGGGACACACTGACAGAAGCGCGGCTGCCATGCCACTCGAGTAGGCAAGTAAGTAAGTAAGTAAGGAAGGAAGGAAGGAAATAAGTAAGTAAGTAAGGAAGGAAGGAAGGAAATAAGTAAGTAAGTAAGTAAATAAGAAAGTAGGTAAGGAAGGAAGGAAGGAAATAAGGAAGGAAGTAAGGAAGGAAATAAGGAAGGAAGGAAGGAAGAAAGGAAGGAAGGAAATAAGTAGGTAAGTAAGTAAGGAAAGAAGGAAGGAAGGAAATAGGTAAGTAAGTAAGTCAGGAAGAAAGTAGGTAAGTAAGGAAGTAGGTAAGGAAGGAAATAAGTAAGTAACTAAGTATGTAAGTAATTAAGTAAGGAAGGAAGGAAGGAAAATAAGTAAGGAAGTAAGGAAGGAAATAAGGAAGTACGTAAGTAAGGAAGGAAATAAGTAAGGAAGGAAATAAGTAGGTAAGGAAGGAAGGAAGGAAGGAAATAGGTAAGTAAATAAGACAGGAAGAAAGTAGGTAAGTAAGGAAGTAGGTAAGGAATGAAATAAGTAAGTAAGTAAGTAAGTAAGGATAAATTACAAAGAACGTAACTCAACTTTTGTAAGAAGTTAACTATGTTTTTTTTGCGAGGAAAAGGCCATTCTCCATCCCTACACTGGTTAATATCAGGTAATGGCAGATATTTAAAATCAAATTATCAATATCGGTACCGAAATATCGTGATATCGTACAGTGAAAGTTCTCATAATAGTAAATTATAAACTTCTTGACTCAAATGCCTTGTGTTATTGCAGCAACAGCTAAAAAAAAAGAGGAAACTACATAGACTATGAGCTGTTTTTCTGTTTTAATGCCGAAAATAGAAGAAATAACTGTTATAAAGGACTTTTATATCCTTATTCTTTGGACTATGACGTTAATATAACCCTAAGTCAAGGCTTTTGAAAGGAAAAAGTAGCATTTCTTAAATTCTGTGAGCATAAGTTTTTCTTTTAGTTTTTTTTTTAGACAGATGTTGAAAACTAGCACTTGCATCTCTAATGTGACTGTGATGTCCTTAATAAACATACATAAATAAATAAATAAAGAATACATGCAAATCATAATTCATGCTTTTAATTTGAAACGCTGAACTATTTTGAGCCTGGATTTAAACAGCGTCCAAGTAGTTTTTTTAATCTGTATGTAACTTTCAATGCCAAAAATAGAAGAAATAACTGTTATGAAGAACTTTTCCGTACTTTATTCTTTGGGTTATGACATTAATATAACTCCAAGTCAAGGCTTTTAAAAGGAAAAAAGCTGCATCTCCACAATATCGCAAAGTTATTTTTTTATAGACAGGTGTTAAAAACTTGTATTTGTGCTAAAACACTCAAAGCAATGCATTTGTCTTGTCTAATACAACTGTTATGTTCTAAATAAACATAAATAAATGAATAAACAAACAAATAAATAAATAAATAAATAATGCGTGCAAATCATAATTCATGCTTTTAATTTGAAACGCCGAACTGTTTTGATCCTGAATTTAAGCAGCGTCTTACTAGTATTTGTTTCTATGCATCTAGTTTAGATTTTTTTTTATATATAGACAGGTGTTGAAAACCAATACTTGTGCTAAAACACTCAAAGGAATGTCTAATACGACTGTGATGTCCTTAATAAACATAAATAAATAAATAATGCATGCAAATCATAACTCATGCTTTTAATTTGAAACGCAAAAACTGTTTTGAGCCTGGATTTAAACAGCGTCAAAGTAGTATTTATTTTTATATAACTTATGTGTTTTATGATTGATTCAGTGCCAAAAATAGAACTATGACATTAATATAACCCCAAGTCAAGGATTTTAAAAGGAAAAAGTAGTGTTTCTTGAATTCTGTGAGCATAAGTTTTTTTGTTTTGTTTTTGTTTTGTTTTTAATAGACAGGTGTGGAAAACTAGTAACACTCAAAGAAATGCATCTGTCTTGTCTAATACGACTGTGATGTCCTTAATAAACATAAATAAATAAAATAATAATTCATGCTTTTAATTTGAAACGCAGAACTGTTTTGAGCCTGGATTTAAGCAGCGTTTTACTAGTATTTGTTTCTATGCATCTAGTTTAGATTTTTTTTTTATATATATAGACAGGTGTTGAAAACTAAAACTCGTGCTAAAACACTCAAAGGAATGTCTAATACGACTGTGATGTCCTTAATAAACATAAATAAATAAATAATGCATTCAAATCATAATTCATGCTTTTAATTTGAAACGCCTGGGCCTGGATTTAAAGTAGTATTCCAAGTAGTATTTATCTTTATGTAACTTATGTGTTTCATGATTGATTCAGTGCCAAAAATAGAACTATGACATTAATATAACCCCAAGTCAAGGATTTTAAAAGGAAAAAGTAGTGTTTCTTGAATTCTGTGAGCATAAGTTTTTTTGTTTGGTTTTGTTTTTTAATAAACAGGTGTTGAAAACTAGTAACACTCAAAGAAATGCATCTTGTCTAATACGACTGTGATGTCCTTAATAAACATAAATAAATAAAATAATAATTCATGCTTTTAATTTGAAACGCAGAACTGTTTTGAGCCTGGATTTAAGCAGCGTTTTACTAGTATTTGTTTCTATGCATCTAGTTTAGATTTTATATATATATATATATATATATATATATATATATATATATATATATATATATATATATATATATATATATATATATATATATATATATATATATATGTGTGTGTGTAAATATAGACAGGTGTTGAAAACTAAAACTTGTGCTAAAACACTCAAAGGAATGTCTAATACGACTGTGATGTTCTTAATAAACATAAATAAATAAATAATGCATGCAAATCATAACTCATGCTTTTAATTTGAAACGCAAAAACTGTTTTGAGCCTGGATATAAACAGCGTCCAAGTAGTATTTATCTTTATGTAACTTATGTGTTTCATGATTGATTCAGTGCCAAAACTTGAACTATGACATTAATATAACCCCACAAAGGATTTTAAAAGGAGCATTTCTTGAATTTTGTGAGCATAAGTTTTTGTTTTTTTAATAGACAGGTGTTGAAAACTAGTAACATCTGCATCTGTCTTGTCTAATACGACTGTGGTGTTCTTAATAAACATAAATAAAAAAATAATAATAATTCATGCTTTTAATTTGAAACGCAGAAATGTTTTGAGCCTGGATTTAAACAGCGTCTTACTAGTATTTGTTTTTATACATGTAGTAGACAGGTGTTGAAAACTAATACTTGTGCTAAAACACTCAAAGGAATGTGTAATACGACTGTGATGTCTTTAATAAACATAAATAAATAAAATCATAATTCATGCTTTTAATTTGAAACGCCGCTGACTTTTGGCCTTGACGTTGGGCCAAATCAAACGTGGCGTGTGTACGTGCGTGCACGCGCTTTGGGGATTCCCCCGTGCACCAAAACAGCCTTGCCTTTCACATGTCACTGCGCTTATCGCCTTTCAGTCACTGCTCCAAACGCGCATATGCTCTGTGGCCCGAGCGCGCACTGCACGCACCGGATATCCACAGCTCGCCTGCCTCTGCTCGTGCTCACAGACAAACCGTGTGCACTTTTAAACGCTTATGCCTGCGCTTTTGGAGGTAATGTACCGCGGTGACTGGCATGAACGCTTGGAATAAGTTTTACCAAGGTGCACCGAGCGGCCACGACCCCAGCTGCCGCCTGTAAGCGCTCAGGGACGGGGGAGTAGGGGCCACCATGAGCAGCAGCTGTGGAAGCGGCAAGCATGACCCGCTGGAGGAGAACCGCATGGACTCGGGTATCGACTCGTATCAGTCCATGTACAAGTCCGAGGAACCCCGCGACGTGAGCTCCGACTTCAGCGGGCCCAGGGACAAGTTTGCGTCCGTGGATGAGCGTCTGGACTCGGCGTACGGCTCGTCGTCCATCACCGTGGAGAGTCTGGGGGAAATCGTCCAGAGCTGCTCGATTTCCACGTCGGACCCCGAGGCGCCCCAGGAGGAGGAGAACCCGCTCACGATAATCACGGAAGATGGAGACACGTAGGTTTCTCTCTGTTTACACTGCTGTACATTTTTACCCTGTTTTTAACCCTTTAGTCTGCAGTTCTCTGAAAACCAGTCCTCTAAACTTACACCATACAGCCATCCACCAGCTTATGATCATGCTCATTTTTTGGCTTTGTTTTGATATTTTGCAACCTGGTCTAACTACAAAAAAACTCTGTACCTTTACATCTTTACATTTCACTCTGGCAAAAGTTAAAGAAACTCCGTGAACTTAAACAGTACAAAAAAATTACAAAAACAACATCTTTCATACAGTTAAAACAAGCATAACCATTAATTTTATTTAACAAATTCCTAATTTTAATACAGTTTAAGGGGTGATACACAATATCAGTATTGCAATATGCAGTACAATTTCCGTACTGCAGTTATTGGATACTGAAACCCCAACCGTGTGGAGGTTAAAAACACTCATGACAAAGAAAGGAATAGTTGAATTTAGCACAGGGGAACAACCACGGATAGGAAATGTATTGTTTATCACACATTTTTGACTTCAGGCTATAATATAAATAGCTGAAAATTATATTTATGAATCATTTTTTATCGTTTTTTATCAGTTGCGCTGCTTCTCTGCATGGATATGGTGTTCGCTTGCACACCATCTACTGGCAGCAGTGTGAATGAACCGTGGAGAAAACCTAAAATATTAAAACAACGTGACTGGGTTGCTAAAATTTTAACATGCTGTTCTAGTGAATCATAAAAATGCTCAGAACATTAGTCAGGCAATCATTTATAGACTTAAAAACAGCACCGGAGACCAATGATCTTTTACCTCTGACGCAACAATCTGGGGAAAATTTAAACTGAGTGATTTCTGAGGCTCACAGTAAGAGGATTTTATTAACACGTTTAATGAAACAAACACGAATGAAGAAAACTGAAACTCCACTATTTGAGTTCTGCTTTTGATGAGGAGAAAATGTGAAAACATGATTAAAAGCACAAAATATCGTCGACTGTCACGTGCAATATATCGATTCTCGCTTGCGTCACCACGTTTTTTTATTGTATCGTATCGTGAGTCATGTGTGGTGCTCAGAACACGAGTTAGGCAATAATTTATTGACTTTAAAACAGCCCCGGGGACCAATGCACTTTTACCTCTGACGCAACAATCTGGGGAAAATTGAAACTGATTGATTTCTGACGCTCGCAGTAAGAGGATTTCATTACTGTTTTTTTATGAGACAAACATGAATGAGGAAAACTGCAACTCCACTACTTCAAAAAATGTGAAACCTGATTAAAAACGCAAAATATCGTATAGAACGTCAAGTCCAAAATATGGATTCGCGCTTGCATCAATGTGTTTTAGTTGTATCGTATCGTGAGCCATGTATGGTATTGAATTGTGACATACTTTGTGATTTTGTGTAGTATTTTCTGTTTATTTTCACAACTGATTTAGCGATAGGGATGCACCGATACCGATACTGATATTTGCATGATAAATAACAGTTACGTAACACAACAGCATCCATTTTTTATGAAGTTAACTATGTTTTTTTGGGAGAAAATGCCATTTTCCATCCCTACTCTGGTTAATATCAGACATTGGCGCATACTTAAAACCAAATTATCAGTATCGTATCGTGGCGTGTCACAGTATATCAAATTATACACTTCTTTGCTTAAATGCTTTGTGTTGTTGTAGCAACAGCTAAAAAAATGAGGAAACTACATAGATTGTGATCTTTTTGTTCTGTTTTAATGCAGAAAATAGAAGAAATAACTGTTATGAAGAAGTTTTGTGTCTTTATTCTTTGACTGTGACATTAATATAACCCCAAGTCAAGACTTTTAAAAGGAAAAAGTAGCATTTCTTGAATTCTGTGAGCATTCTATTGCATCGAACGCGTTTTTTTTCAACGTTATATCAATAGTATCGGCACTGAAAAGGCTAGATGGAAGTATTTCTATTTTGTTAACCTATGAAGGTTTCTTCTCCCGTTAACATTAAACTATAGATCACTATGATGACTATTTTCTACATTTGCACATAGTAAATCCCCTACTCTTCTTATTTCCCATTTGCTTTCTGCATACATAGGCCAGTATTGACTTTCCTCCCCACATTGAATGACCATGAATCACTGCCACTCGCAAACACACTGCACACTGGTCCTGCTGCACGTTGGCTCCTGTCCCTGGCCCGAGCTGGTTTTTAAGGGGATTTCATAGCGATGTGATACTGTCAAACCATAGCCATAGGTCTGTGCTGAACTTTGGCCCCGCTCTCAATTGTGGATACAGCCCTTTTAGGCAGAAAACAGAAGTGAAAGAGGTTTTGCGAGGCTTGGACTTCCCCATGCAGAAGAAGGCACAGGGCACACGCTGCACATAAGCTGGTATTGCCATGTTAGACAACAAAACAAGTCCAGTTGGATAATAATAGAGGCGGGGACTGGATGGTATTCAGAATTTTTAATAGAAAAGGGCATTCAGGAAGTAGCGTAGCTCTTTCAAAGTATTCTTAACTTTTAAATAGAATTGTAAAGGAAACCGGTTTCGCGCACGCAGGGAATTCCACTGTTGCAAGTTGGAATATGCATGCTATTTGTTGTACTCAAATATTTGTCACATGCATTGAGAATAAACTTTGGATTTAATTTGAATTTAAAGGCTCTGTATTACGCAAAAGTTGACTCTTGTGAGCTTGAAGTCATGTTATAAAGCGGTTACCTCATCGAAAACAAACCTGAAGTTGTGTTTTGTTTGAGTAATCCTGTTTTATTAGTCTGTCTGAAACTCAAAATTGCTCTGTTACTTTATTAATAAAGAAACAACATTATAACATAGATCAGAAAACAAATGTAACATCCACCTGTTAAAATGTGCTGCACAATTTTTAAAGAAAAAAAAAAGATGAAATTAAAATTTTCCTGACAGGAAACCGGTTGCACACAGGGAACTCCAATGTTACAAAGTAAAATATGCGTGCTATTTCTTTGGAATTTTTTGACACGAGCGTAGTTAAAACGGAACAAACTTTTAAAATTTTTGAGGTGTACTTTTTTTTAATGACAGTTATTCCACTAAAAATCGAAACCAGGATTCAGTCCACATTCGCCACAAGACTGAAATAGTTACGGTTAAACAAATCTGGGAATCCCGTGCATTTCAAAACAAGTTTGTAGGGATCCAAATCAACAGGTTTAACGAGTCTTTCCTTAAATAGACTGGATTAGGTTTGTCTACCTTGGATATTCTTTTCTAATCTAATAATTACAGCCTTTGCCATATTTTTTTTCATTCAATTCTGCTTAGACGTTGGACGATGTTATACAGTTTGCAAATACAATATCGTACTCCCAAATGTTGACTTTAAAAGATCCATAATACATACACAAACATACACTACCGGTCAAAAGTTTTAGAACACCACACTTTTCCCATTTTTTTTTTTTACTGTATTCTAAACTTTTGATTCATGAAAGTGTCCACCTTTGGCAGATATAACAGCTGAACACACTCGTGGCTCATTCTTTTTACAATAGAAATCAAATATTCTTCAGAAAGTTCTTCCCAAGTCTGTTGCAGAAGTTCCCATAAATTTGTGGCACTTGTAGGTTTCTTGGCTTTTACTCTTCTGTCCAGTTCATCCCAAACCAGCTCGATGGATTTTAAGTCTGGAGACCATGTCCATGTTTTAAAGTTTACCATCTTGTTCTTTTTTCCTGAGGTAGTTTTGGCAGAGCTTGGACTTGTGTTTTGTATCTTTTATCTATTTTTTAACCTCTGGGTGTTCAGTTCTTACCTTTGTACCATTTCAAGCTTTTCATTGGACTTGCACGACTTGAATTGCAATAAATAACTGGAAAAATTTGGGTGTTCTTAAACTTTTGACCTGGAGTAGTGTTTTGTTTCATTCACACACTCAAATTTTCATATTTAGGCTGAGTACTTTTCTCAAACGGAATAAACACTCATGTGATAATACAGGAAGTGCTCCACTGTGTTTTTAAACTCCACACATTTTCACTGCACTGCAATTATCTGGATAATTTCAGCTCTGGAATTGCCAATTTCCACTGAACACAAGTTAAAAAAGCAGCTGTGAACTTGAAAAATACTGCTTCATGACATCGCAAGGTGGGACGGAGCATTTTTACCTTCGAAGATGTAGAGTGATTAATAATAAAGGATTACTCAAACATGCGTGAATTAATCAAAACACGACTCCTGGTATGTTTTGGATGACCTAACAACATTCAAACATGATTTAAAGCTCAGAAGAGTCAATGTTGTGCAATACAGGACCTTTAACTAAATCTTCTTTGAGTACACGTGATCCTGCATCTTTACAAACTATAAACCAAATAATCCACGCCTGTCAGCTCATTTGACGTGACTGCCTCTTCGCTGACAGTTCACCAGCGTTCATTCATTCTGCAGGCTGCCTTAGACACACACAGCTGGGGCAATCCTTTGGCATTTACAAGATTACACAAGGGTTGATGAGTGGACCGCTCAGCTCAGCCCGTGTCAAAGTTTCCGTATGCAGTGTTGTACAAGTTTAACTAGTTCACTTAATGGCTCCAAACTAGGTGCAACACTATCAGCTCGGAGCATTTGGGGAACGTAACTCTGGAATTCATTACCCCAATTAACTCCTGCCACATGAGTCCAGTAAATGCAGGATATGCTATTGAGATAAATCACATATTAAAGGTAGAAATGCACTGATTTAGATTTGTCTGTTTTGATAACGATGTCGATGCTTTGGTGTTAAAGGTAGGGGTCCGTCACGTGCTTGTTTCTTTAGATATGCGATTGCTTTGTCTGGAATGTTCCACAGTATGACATTAAACAGCTCTACCTTACATTTATTCAATTACAGGTGGGTTTAAAGCTCAAAAATACAGAGAAAAACATTCTGACTGTGAGCGGGGTCGCCTCTCCAATGATGGAAAGGTTTATTTAGCCAAGCTGGTGCCACCTAGTGCCTCTGCTCAATTTCATTTCTC